AGGATTCTAGTCAGATTTCAGGTATGTTTTATAAATGCTTTATTTTTAATTTTACATTTATCTCCAGAAAAATAAGCAAAACAATATAAAGATACTGGGATAAACTCTGCTTTCACTTGCATCAGGAGGAATCGAGTTTCTTCAACAAATAGCTATTGATTCATATTGATGCAGCTGAGAGTAGGATTTGTCCTAATGCTCAGAGTTCTCTCTCTCAAGTTTTGAAATGAAATGCTCTCTGCATGCAGGGAACAAACATATTCTTTCAGTGTGGATTATTTTAATCTTAGATTAAGAAAAAGAAAACCTAATGGTAAAGCCCTTTTCAGAAGAGAGTGCATGTGGCTGTTCATGTATGTGTCCTCTCTAACACACTCCAACTGCTCATCTTACAAAACCACTGCCAACTCCATTTTATTTTCTTTCTACTTGATCTGCAACAGAAAGACAGATCCCTTCAGAATGCAAAGGCACAGCATGGAGAAAGAAAAGGCCTGATAATTTGCATGCAGACAGGCTCTAGTTCTCCTTGAATGGAGGGAAACAAAAGAGAAAAAACATACCTGCAAAAATGTCAAACCTCAGAAATTTTCCTCAAACCCCTTCAGAGGAAGGGAGTTGGTTTTGGAGGAGCTGAAAGTAGAAGCTGAGAAAAGCTTAGGATCTGCTCCTCTTGAATTGTAGTTGCTCTCAGATCTGAAAGGTTGGGATTGTGAGGATATCACCAATGTTTAAGTAAAATATGTCTGGATTTGCAGAGTTTATAGAGCTTGGAAAGATAGGTGACTATCACCCCTCTGTCCCAGGTGAAGAATCTGTTTAACAAAAAATGTAACAGAAAAGGTTGCCCAAAGTGAAATAATGCTTAAGGGCAAGTAATAAATTGCGGATTTCCTGATCCTGTAGATTAGCTCCTGTATTGTTTATTAATGTTCAAAATATTTGATAACAATGCATATAATGACAAACTGTTGCCAGGAGCCTGAGTAGAATAGAGGGGTCAAGGGGAGGCCCTGTACAATTTTTTTTTTAAGTACTTTGCTTTTTTTTGTTCTTATAATTTGTCTACAATCATTCCATTATATGATCATAATTACTTGTCTGAAGTCTTAGAGACATCATGACAGAAGCTTATCTCCAGAAAGTCTGTAAGCAACAGAACAGTAATGTGGCTTTTGAGGGCAGCAATTTTATGGGACAAATCAACACAAGTCAAATTCTTGAGAAACTTTAAAAATCCTATTTGGCTCAGTAGCCTTAAATAAAGAAGAGGAGAAGTAAAATACAGACTGAATGCTGAGTTCACCTCATTATTTATAAATAAAATGGTTCTCAGTTTTCCAAGATATAGTGCCAGCACTTGATGTCTCTTCGAGATTTCAAAAACATTAATTAATCATTGTCTTTTCATGGAAAGTTTTTGTGGCAGCCCAGTAAATACCAATACAGAGAGGAAAAAATTCACACTTAAATGTTTAAATTCTCTTGAGCTCTTCTGGACCATGTAACTCGTATGCTCTTTGTGGCTCTGCATTCACCTTTTTCCTTGCTGTATGGTTAGGATTTTTTTTCTGTAACTGCAAAATAAACCTTAAAGGTGGTCACTCTAAAGTAAACTTTCTCTGTCACATACTTACTGGTCTAGTCAATACCTTTGTATTGTAATGTGGGAAAAAAAAAACAAAAACTAGCTGAATGTGTGGGGAAAGGAATGAAAGGTCATGTCCATCATGAAGTGCTAAAGTTTAATGGTAAAGCTTGTCTTCGAGATTTAGAAGGAAGGTGGGTCTTGGTAAAAGCTGCTTTTAATGAGGTGTCGTAATGTAGGAAACTAGAATAGAAGAGATGTTGAAAATAAATCATGGATTTGCCCCCTGTGTCCATGGTCACTGTTCTTCACTGGAGGATTTTCTTTGTGCTTTACTTTACTTTTTTTTTTTCCTTCCAGGAATCCATAAACTAATTGTTGCTTTTTTCATAGTGTCTGGTGCCCTGGAGATATAAAATACCATGAATAAACTGTATCTTGAAGTCTGTGTGTGCAGTTTGGCTTCAATAGCCCTACTTTCTGCATATTGTGTTATATTGTGTTTTATCCTGATAACTGGAACAAAACCTTTTTCATTACAAGATTCTACTCAGTCCAAATAAGAGTATTAAAAGTTGTGCTTCTGCAAAATTTTTGTTAGAGTCACAAAGATCTCTGCCCAGGGGTGATCTGAAGAGAGCTGGAGTAGGCCTTCCATCAGGCCCATGGGGTTTTTGGGGGTTTTTTAGACCAATTTTTGCATTTCTTAGTTGCAACAAAGTGTTATACTACTTTTAGAAGGGCTATGTTCTCTTGGCTCTGGGAGGGGTGGGCAATCTGCTCGGGATGACGGCAGCATCGGTTTGCTCATTTCCCTCCTCTCTCCATCAGGCTAAAGGCAACTGGAAGTTTGCAGTCCTTTACTTCCAGAATCTTATCCCTTTCCCAGTTTGCCCTCTTATCATTAGCCCTTCAAATAGGTCTTTTTCTTCAAGCCCCATGAAAGGGAATGGTGAAAGGCTCTATTTCCTTTTCCTCGAAGGAGAGATCAGAAACATTTTCTTGTTCTTCCCACCATCTTCTTTCCCACTTGCAAGTGAGAAAATCTTTGCCTTGCTAAGCCTGTAGGGCTTAATTCACTCTGCTGAATACCTCTTAATCCCTTCCTCTTCTGTGGTGGTGGTGATCTTTTCCATTAGACAAGGTGCAGCTCTTCATCTTACCTGCTCACCAAGGTGGACTCTTATTAGAGCAGCCACAGTTTGCAAAAGAAGTTTGATGTATTGATGGTGATTGAAAAAGCTGTATTAGAGGTTGTCCAGGAGGTTGATGACAGGGCAGCACCTTGCTAAACCACAGTATCAATATCTGGGTTACTTGGTCAGTAGATAGTATTTGAGTCTTTGAGGAAAACTTAATCACTTGTTCTTTGCTAATTGCTATGCAAGTAAAGATAATTATATGCTTGCCAGCAAAAGATTCACTAAAACAGTGTTGGGAGATCACATATCAAAGAAGGGGTAAATCTGTGCCAGCAATGCTTTTACCTGAAATAAATCTCTGTTAACTGAAACCTCTCTTATTTCTGGGGTAACATTAGAGAAGAAAGGTTGGTTATTTTCAAATGGCATCTGAGTTCATGAGTCTGCTGGGAGCAGCAATCCACTTACCTCATGTTCCAGTGTAAAAAGGAAGATGATACTGATGTCTTAAAGGAAAGTCCATACAAAGCATAACAGTGCTTGAAACTGCATGTTTCATGCAGCACATGAAACTGTTCCTATCATGCTTTACATTTAGCAGAGTCTAAAATTTTCCATTGTAATGAGAGGAAAACCAAGATGCTTACAGTTGCAGTGCTAAACTTAAAGTAGTTGAACTACAATTCATTACCTCTTCAGCTACAAGAGGTTTCCTTTCCTAATAACAGTGTTGTAGTTTGATACCAGGGGATTTGGTGTTAGGAAAACAAATGTCAAAAAAAGAAGTGAATTGAAGATACAAGGAAGTTGTAGTGCATATTTTGGTATGAGTAAACTTTGAAATGTAAGGTAAAGCAGGAATCAGAAAGGGCCTCTCTGAGAAATTGAAATACGTCCAGGCATTTTAAGAAAATGGAGTTTTGATAACAGGAGACAGGAGTAAATCCAGGAGAGGAATCTGAGGTGGCCCTCAAGTGCAAGAGGAGAGGTTTCTTTCTTAGTGCTGAGATTTGCTAGTGCAAATGTAGTAAAGTTAGGGTAACAGCCCTGAAGGATGGAGTCCTATGCCCACCAAGCACGTATATAAGGTAGTAACAATAATAGAATTGTCTTGCACCCCTTTAGTATATGTCAGGGTTTTTTTGAAGAAGGTATATTTACACACAGCATCTACTCTCTGTTGTTGTTTCTTCCTTGCTTTTTCTATTAAGACCGTCAGCAGAGTTTTGCCAATTTTATAGTATTGATGGCTAGCAAATGCATTGGCTTCCTGTATGATACGTTATTTCTGCCTTTCTGCACCAATTTTGGATCTGTGCAGTACACCTAATATGCCTTCCTAATTGTTGACACCAGCATACTGTTGAGTGACATCAGCCTCTCCTTGTTGAGTGTTTGAAGATACATTCCCATTAACTGTATATTGTACAGTGATGAGAATTTCTGGCAGTTTAAATCAGTAGTATTAAATGAGGATATCTAACGTGAAGATGTTCTGGGCATGTATTCTACAATCTAAGGTCATTGAATATGGTTGTTGCTTGAACTACATGAGGGGAGCTGTAGGAAGAAGTGTTGTGGCTAATACAATGGGCTTTGCCTGCGCTTCTCTTTCAATCAGTACCTGATGGAAAGTTTTGGGAAAACACTATGGAAGACTGTGTTATTGGTTAGGCACTGTGTGCTGTGTGATGTAGAAAAGCAAAAGACTGGCTGCTCTTGTCTTTTAGGTATTTTAGCAATTAGGTTCCCTCAGGTTGTCAAAGTCAGCTAATTAAATTTTTCGCCCTTCTAATTCCATCCATCTTTTTGCTGCATTCTGCCTGCTGGATCCCAGTTATTTGTTTTGGGGTGAGGGCTGTTTGTTTCCCAAGCAGAATAACAGAACAAAACAGTTGGTGGGATACAGGCTGACTGTGGCTGTATTTCAGATAACCGGTGACTTGTAATAATCAGTAGAGATGTTGCTCAAATAACTATTTATCCACATTTCCTGATTTTAGTTGCCTTATTTCTCACCTGTCTTCTGTGATGTTTTACGGGAACAAATGAGTCACTGTCTTCGGCTGAATGCTGTAGAGTGTGAAACACAGTGTTTATTTTGAAGCAGAGCCAATGAAATGCGTCCTGACAAAGCTCAAAACGATGCTTCTGTGTATTCTTCAGTGCCATCTACCGGCATAATTGCCCATTAGAGATTTATAGGCGAAGAACATGCTCCTAATCGCCAGCAATTTAAAAACATTTGTTTCTTTTTTCTTTTATTTTAGGAGCAAGGCAAGATTGGTGTAGTCTTCAATATTGGCACAGTGGATATCTCTATTAAAGAGGAAAGCACACCTGTAAATGATGGCAAATACCACGTAGTACGCTTTACCAGGAATGGTGGCAATGCCACCCTTCAGGTTGACAGCTGGCCAGTGAATGAACACTACCCCACAGGTAAATATTTTTTTTCTTTTTGTTTTTCTCTGTAAGTGTATCTGTACCTATAAACTCATGTTTAATCACAACTGGTTGCTATATAAATCTTTGTTACTTCATCTCAACAATAAATTGACCAGCCTGGTGATGCATATTGTGTCTCTTGGAAAACAAACTAGTGGTCCTTTACACTGGAAGTATAAGCACGCCAGCTGTGTGGTATGATGCACATAGATCCTGCCATTTCAGAGGTCTCTAAGTGAATCCTGATTCTGCATGGTTACAAACTCATACAACAACAAACTCGGTTTTGCTACTTGTGATATTTTCTAAATATTTAGGGGAGAGAAGTTTCACACAGACCTTACAAAAAGGAGAAGTGACTAGCCGCATCCCAGATACTGTGTATATAGATATGGAGTTGAAATGTAAGGAATGTGGAAGATTAGGCAAGTATTTGTTCAGACCTTATGCTTGCCTCCTAATTTTTCATCATCTGAATTTCATTTTCTCTTTTAGGTTTGCGGATACAAAGGTTGACATCTAACCAAAATGACAGCTCTTAGTTAACTTTTAAGTCAAAATGTAGTGGAACAATTAATTATCTCTTTGGAAATTATCACCCTAAATCCAGCAGAAATAGTGAACTGGCTTTTGAGACACTCTTGAGACTCTTGAGGTCACATGTTTTCTCCTGCCACTGGCAAATCACAGCCTCATGATACTTTATGTCATTATGCTAAAAGGTCAAACTCACTCCAAGTGAAAAACAGATTGTTGTATATGATACTGACAGTGCGTAAGATAGCTGAGCTATGATGATATGTATGGTTACAAAAGGCAGAATGAGCACAAGAAAAGAATTCCAGTGTTAACAACATTCTTCTTATTCACATGTGGTTGTCTAAGTTCAAGCCATGATCATACTGGTTTCCAGTATGAAGTCTAAGCAACTTTCAGTTCTTCTTTTCTAGGTTGTACAGTACTAACTCACTAACTAAATAGTTGTGTGGGAGTTGTTCAAAAGAAACAAACTCAAATTATAGGAAATATCCTAACTTGATGTTGCATACTAATTTATGTGACGTTACACTAATGAATTACTCTAAGGGGATGATTTAATCTCTTCCACTCCCTGAGAAAGTGCACAGGAAAGTTTTTAATGTGAGGAGTCTATGCTGTGATGCTCTCTACCACATATTCAACACGGCCCTTTGTCAGTGTTTTGGTGAAGTGTGTGCAAAAGGGTACACTTCAATTATTAACCTTATTTCTGTGAAAAAAAATCATTTTGAATAGTGCCATGACAGACATGCTGAGTTAGATTCTAGCTCGGCTGTCTATTGGTTAGAGAGGAAAGTGGACTAGGAAAGGCCCAACTGAGGATCTTTCTTCTGCTTCTGTCATCGATTATTTTGTAAAATACTTCCAATCCAGTTGGCAGCCAATTACAATCACTAAGAACCCTATGAATAAATGTTCTTCTTACATTACTTACTGTAGTAAGTCCCTGGTGTAAAGGAACAAAATATTCAACTCAATGCTTTAGAGATTTTTTTATTTTTTTTTAAAAGGGAAAATAAATCACACTGAAAGACTACCTCAGTACCTTCTGCTTCTGCCTTGGATAAAGATATTTCTGTGTTTTCATTAGAAGATGTATGGTTTTATGGAGTCATCATTAATCTCATGTTCTGGGCTAGTATTGAGTGTATGCAGTGGTACCTCGAGGAGAAAGGACACCTTTATCTTCCAGACACCTTTTCCTTTTTGCGCGTGTATTTCAATTTCTGTCTGTTTGTAGATGATGAATTTTTCAGCCTCTCTCTGTGAAAATAAGGCTTATGGGATCATACTCTGTGTGTCTGCAGGCTTCTCCCTTCTTTTTTCAGCTGAATTTAAAAAAAGGGGGCAAAAATCAAAAAAGTAAAGATCCTACATGACTATGGAAAAAAACAAGCAAGCAAACAAACAAACAAAAAAAACAAGGGAGAAGGGCAGGGTTCCGGGCCTTCCAAGGAAGGAAGGACTGTGGCTTGATCTCAATTCATGTAAAATACCAGAATAGCCATATAATGCAGCAGCATTATGAATGCCTCAGATTCAGAAAAAGATTCAATGAGCCAATAACTACAGGAAACCAATCCCTATTAGTCCTATTTTCTCTACAGTTAATGGTTGAAAAAAAAGACTAAGCAGTAGCTTTTGAAATTAATAATTTGTTCTCTTTTACAGACCAAACTTGCATTATAGTTTCTTGTATGGAGTGCAAGACCAAACCTGTGTTCAACAGAAATTCAACTCTGTAAAACGCTTTGTGGTTGGATGGACCCAGGCTAATCCAGTGTGTTTCAGCTGGAGACTGCTGAAACTGTGATTCATGTCAGACTTGTGTAGTACTAGCTGAGGAAGCCTGTACATTTTGCATAGGATCAGGTCAATTCTGGAAACACACTTATTTGTACTGTTAAAAAAAAGTTATATTTGTAGCACATGCATGGTTGGGCACACTGTGTTGTCTGTAAAATGAACAATTTCATGTGTACTTGGTTTTCCACAAGGTGCTGCAGCCTAATGCTTGCAGATTTTATAAACTAGCTAGTGTATCTTCCTTGTCGTCACACATGGTACAATCTTCAGGCAGCAGGGCTGCATTTTGAATGGCATTTCCATGCTCCTCTCTGAGTTTTATTACTTGTAGAAGGATTATACATTCAACTAATAATTACTTGCTCAATGAAAAGCACAAATAAAAGTTGGATATTCATTAAATGAGCAAAGTGAGAGAATACTGGCTTTCCTTAAAACACAGTCTTCAGTTAAGTTGAAATTAAATGAAACTAACCCAATGGGACCAAAATACTCTAAAGATGCATTTTTGAAACTTAAAAAAAAAGACAAGGAAGTTAAAGAAAATGAAATAGCAACAAACTGACAATTTAGGCACTGATGTTTTGGTCAATATAGCATCCAATTGCATTTCAGTGACCTGCAACACAAGCTTTCTCCTTTCTTGCAAGGACAAGGGTTAGAGAGAAATGGTAAAAAGGAATTAGTTTGGAGCTAAGGTTGGCTTAACTTTGCGACTGAAATAATCCAAATCATTAGGGATGATCTCTCATCATTAGTGTCGTTCCAACGCTGCTGGAGTTTCTCTTACTGGACAGTAAGACTGAAGAGTAAGACTGAACAGTGGCCCAGTACAGGTATCTATGACAAAGTTCCTGAGATGGCAAATAGTAGTGTTAGTACTGAGGCTGCCATCTGCAATTCATCTGTCGTGGTTCAGCCAAAACCACTGAGCTATTTATGATTTATTTGCATTAGTTTCTCCCTTTCTTCTCTCTCTCAAGAACACAATAAGGGGATTACTTTTTCCATAGGCTGTACTGATAGCCAACTTCTTGATGCTTGATTCATTAAGTTGGTCATCACAGTGTGTTTCTCAGTCAGGTATAAATCTCTTGCTATGCTCTAAGATACAGGTCCCATGACTGCTTCACTTCTGTTATCTCACAAGCTTTCATCCTTTTGTGTACATACAAGAAAACAGGCTGTGCTTGGACACTGTTGTTTTCTTGCTTTTATGGTCTTGGTGAGAGCCTTCTCTGTATCTAAATACTTATAGTGATGAAATTGGACTCATTTTGGACCAAGAGTTCAGGAAGAGGAAGCACCTGACGTGTTTTTGTTTCAATTAGAATAAACCTATCAAATTTGAGACAGTTCAGAGAAATTTTCAGAATAGTTAAATCTGTCTTCACACAAAACTGGGATGTTTCAGTCCCTAAATTTTCGTTAGTTCTTAGATGTGAGATTTTTTTCTCTGTTCACTCACTTTTCTTGCAAAAAATACTTTGTGTGTTGCCAGATTTGTAGTGTATGTCAAAACAAGCCTGATATTCCTGTTCATTCATCCATGCACCGACTACATTTTCTACAGTAGAAAAAAACCCCAAACTAGTTGAAGAGAAGCTGTAGAGTAAGAGTGTCCGTGACATGAAAATAAAGTCTAATTGGAGTAATATTTTAAAGGAGAATATTAAAGGAAGGAAGGCAAGAGGTGGGAAGGAGTTGTCATTTAAAGAGGTGCACGATTAGGCAAGATAGCTGTAGCCTGGATTTTTTTAATGCATTTTAAAAATTAAAACAGCACTAAGCAACTGGATTCTTATCAGGATTCATTAGTTCATCCACACACTACATATTTTATATTTTTCGCCTTTATCATTCTCTTGAGTGATCTCTCAGCCTTCTTATAGTAGCCTCTGCCCTTTCAAATTACATCAATTTGCATTTCTTTTGCTACTGAATAAGAGAAAAAATAATTCATCCTCTATGCCCCTACTTCATTTTCTCTCTCAAGTACATTTCTGAGAGGAAGATGGATTTCTGGAAAAGCTGGACAGTTAGCTCTTGACAGCAGAACTAACTGCTCTGGCTCGTAGTGTGGTCACATAAGTGTATACCTATAAAACAAAAAGTTGAATCTGAGACCCTGATATCTGTGCTGAGGTTTTCCTTCAGAATAGTTCCAGTTCCAAGAACTGGATGTCCCTGAACATTTGGGGCATATCTTCTGATTTAATTTCATTTGAAAGCAATCCAATTTGAACTACATCTTTGGTAGTCTATGTGATACAGTCTTTGTCTGAAATATGCTTTCTAGAAACACAGGTTAAAGTGATAGTGGTTTAGATTCTCCTACCTATCTGAAATGTGAAAGGCATCAGCTCTCCCTTGCTATAATATATTTTTTCATTTACTTGGTGGAAAGTTCTGAAGTAGCTTGATTTGTACCAGGCACTTCATGTAAGACATGGAAGAAAACTGGCTGAGTTCCTACTTACTTCTTTCAATAAGTTTTCTAGCAAACTGAAGGAGTACTGTGATTATGGAACTTCATAGTCTGCTTTGAAACAGATCATTTCTTGTCCTACTGAAGCCATTTATCACCTTTCCCTGGATATTTTCAGTCTCATACCACAAGTGGCATGGTCTTTTTGTTTGATGATTTC